AATTTTCAGCATGTATACATTACTGAAACAGCGACGTCTACGTTGGCTTGGGCATGTCATGAGAATGGCTGATGGTCGGATTCCAAAGGATCTCCTGTATGGATAATTAGTGCAGGGAAATCACCCCAGAGGGAGACCACAGCTGCGATACAAGGATATCTGCAAGCGGGATCTGAAGGCCTTAGGAATAGACCTCAACAGATAGGAAACCCTGACATTTGAGCGTTCAGCCTGGAGGCAGGCGTTGCGTCATGGCCTCTCCCAATTTGAAGAGACCCTTGTCCAGCAGTCCAAGGCAAAGAGAAAGTCACAAAAGCAGCAAAACCAGGGAGCTGGACAGGGAACAGATTGGATTTGTCTTCAGTGTGGAAGAGATTGTCACTCTCGAATTGGCCTCCTCAGCCACACTAGACGCTGTTCTAAGTCCCCCATACAGAGCACGTTACCATAGTCTTTCGAGACTGAAGGATGCCTAAACTAACTAACTGGTCACATTAGTAGGTCTATATTTGGTGCACTACAATATTGGGCATGTGTCTCATAACACAACTGGTGTCCTGTTAGTTAGCTGCAATTCACTGCTATGCATTATATAATTTAACATGTATATATAAATCACCCCCAGTATTCTGATCATAGAGAATTAGCTTTAAGGTGCTAATTAAAGACAATTCTTTTTATAGGTTCTGTTCCTGTAAGATGTTAGACCATTTTTAATGACTGGCCAGGCATCCATTGCCAGGCAGCCTTGTCTATCTGTTTGGACTTTTTCACTTCCTCCTAGATGAATAGCTAAACTAGTACTTTTAGGGGTCTATCTATCAGTCTCACTTCTTTCCTATTTCCCTCAAAAGCAGACATTCTGTCATCTATTTAGGATTAGGACTTAGGTTTTTCTATCTGAAACATAACTTTCTTATTAAAGTTTAGTTGTTTCTTTCTAAATTCTCCAACTTTAGAATAACAATCTTAGACCTGCAGAGCTGGAAGGACCTTATGGATCATCGAGTCCATATCATGTCAAGGAGGCACAGTGGGGAATCAAACTTCCAACCTCTGGCTCTGCAGCTGAATGACTAAACAACTGACTCATGTCTGTAGGACTTACTGTACTTTTGCACAGAACCTACTCTGCTACTGAGACAAAAACCTTATTTTCTTCTTCTCTGTTATGCTGTAAACATCCACAACATGAATCTCTCTTGGGAAAGGGTATGTGAAGAACTAAACAGAATGATGATTTGATGCTAAGTAACCAATAAAAACAATTTTTAAAAGAACAGTTTGGGCCTAAAAATTATTTAGACCGGCCATTCTCAACAGGGGTCATATGGCCCCATGGGTGGCACTGGCACATTTGAAGGGGGCCACAGTCTGGAAACAATTCTTCACACACCACCTTATAAGGTTTGTAATGCAACTTATGCAATCCTGATTCAGCCTATATTTCTTTCATAATGTATTTAAAAAGGTTGAGAATGGCTGCTTTAGACAACTCAGAAATGAAATTATTTATTTATTTATTTTATTTATATCCCGCCTATCTAGTCAATAGACCACCCTAGGCGGTCTATTGTGGTCTCTTGTGGAGGGAGGGAGAAATCACTAAAAATCAACCTAAATGGAAAGTCACTAATACAGTAACATTGTTTGAAAAAAAATGAGCCCCAAGGGAAACCAGGAAATCACAGGCAGTTGGCTTAATATCTTTACAGGCTAAATTGGTAGAAACATGATTAAAGCTATAATTACTAACAAAGAAGAATAAGCTGTGCTCAGCAAGAATCAGCTTGTCTTCTGCAAAAGGGAGCCCCAGGCCTCTACCCTTCCAGAATTTTAATAAACACATGAAGAACAGCAATGCTCTGCTATACATGTCAGTCTTTTTCACCTTGAAAAGTATATCGTGACCCCCAATCTTCTGATTGAGGTATGCAATGCTTACCTTGTTTGTAAGAGATCATTAGGACTGTACTCAAAAGTAAAATATACAGTATCATAGGGCTCAAGATAGAGCTACATGAGAGACTCACAAAAATGTTGCAATGCTGAGTGTGTGATGGACAAGCAAAGAAATTCCTGGATGACTGACAATTTTGTTCAGTGGAAAAACTCTTTAAGACTAATATACAGTATATCAAACGTCATTCAAAGTTTGACAAAGTGTCACTATAGTTCAAAGTTTGGACAAGTTTTTGTTTTTCTTAAATTACACCTCCTAGATTGCTTCAGGTAGCAACGACTAGCCAGCTGGAGCATTCTGCTAATTAGTCCAAAAAAGGGATGGAAGGCTGAGTCAACCGTGAGCCGGCTACCTGGGATTTGAACCCCAGGTCGTGAGCACAGTTTTAGCTGCAGTACAGCGTTTTAACCACTGCGCCATTAGTCCAAAAAAGCTATTTTTCCAAGCAGTGCTCTAGTCCACATTAATGTGGACCTGCAACCTCCCCACACCTGCTCCCACAGCCTTGGGATTAACTTGTTTCTGTCGCAATGGGAGCATCTAACAGAGCATCTAATTGAAATGGTGAGCAAGGCTGCATGGCTTAAGCCTATCCTGCTGCCAATCCCATAGGACCTCAGATTCCTATTCAAATATGTTACAACCCCCCATATTCCAGACTACTTGTGGCGTACATGTGGTTTCTTGACCGCACACAGTCTAAGGCCACCCCGAATCTGAGAGTAGGAACTTCCATACCTTTGCTCTCTCCTTGTAGATCAGCCTATGGAATAACGCATTACATCATGTTAATGCCACAAGCAAAGACCAAAAATAAACAAGTTGAACCATGCCAATATGTCCACAGAACAGGCAGTTGCAAAAGATGATAGCAAGAGAACCACAGGGAGGAAAAAATAATGCCATACTCATGAGCTATTTTTCTTTGACCCTGCCAAGAGATTTGTGAGTAATGACTGAAAGAGATGGTGAATTGAGAATAGCCCTGAGCAGTGCAGGCCTATGAGCACAGTGCAAAGGCATTGAGGAAGACTGCTGTGGCTGCTAATGATACTGCAGAATGCCCAAGTTGCCAAAGACTTTTTCCTTTGCCTTGCACAAGGCCAGGGGCATCGTATTCCCTTGTCAATGGAAAGCAGTGGTTTTGGATGTTCTGGCTGTGGGGTAGCAGCTCTGCAGTCTGAGGGCTACCCATGGCTATGATTATTTGTATGTCACCTTCAGCTTTGCCTGTTTCTCCAAAAGCTGCTGGCCCTACCCTCCTACTCTCTGCATGGCATTTCTTGGAGTTCCTTCTCCTTCCACTGTGTGTGTGTGCAATTGACAGATACAGAGGAGAGTACGTTGATCCCACTTAAAAAACTCTGCAATCCTGTGACTGTTGTAATGTTATAAATGCTGCCACTTTTGGCTCTGGTCTCACCTACTACCACAGATAGCAGGATTCCAGTCAGAAAACTACATTTGTTCCACCAGGCCAGGCCATTTGGTCCCACTGGCCTCATCTGATGCCCAGCTTCCTTCTGGAGGGAGAGCAATTCCGTCAAAGGTGTGGCTCAGGCACTTCTTTCTTGTCTTCTCTATTTGGGGGTAAAGAGGGGGAACCAAGCTGGCTTTTGCATCCGACCAGCACTTTGCAAAGAAGTAGCTGCATTAGGCTGCCTCAACAAGTTGGGTTGTGGGGGGGGGGCAAAATATTGGAGCACTATTAAGATTGCCAGCTTTATTTCAGTGTGAGCTTTCATGGATCACTGTAAGGTTCAGCTCAGTTCCTAGAATCACGAGCTGGGCGTACTTCACTTTTTAAACAGCCTCCCATGTGAGGAAGGGAGAAGCTGGCTACTATTAGACTGGAACTCATTTGGCTTCCTGAAGCACTGGCTCAGCCCGCTTTGCTTCTTCTTTGCCTTTCCTGCAAGGTAAATGGAAGAGAGTAGTCCTACTGGCTGCTGCTGGAATTCAGGAGATTCTTCAAAATATTGGCTGAGTCTACTTCACTCCCTTGTCATCTTTCCCATTGACCTTGACCCACAGGAAAGAGTCACCTCGGCTTATTCCACATCATTGCTTCCAAGTCCTCTCTATGACAAGAGCAGGAGCACAATCACGTCAGCAAAGGTAGGATCTGGAGGAATTCCTGCTGGCATTCCAGGTGGGAATGCATTTTCTCATTGATCCATGACACTTCATGGCGAATTGTTTCTCTACCCTTTTCCAGATTCCTCAAGGGTAGCTTAAATACGGTATGCCTTCCCATTTATTCCTCTATTAATGAAGCACATCAAGCCATACCCAAATTGCCCACTTGGAATCTAAAAAAAATGAAAACAGACCAACGATCCTAATTCATAATATGAAGCTGACAATAATTCTTAGCAAATCTCTCCCCCCCACTTGTCTTAATTGCAATTCCTATCTTATGCACTTCACATATGAAACATAATAAGCAGCTGGATTTATATATTAGAGACCACCTGTAGGAGAGTACCAGGAAGGTATCCTATTAGCTACCATATACTGATATCCCATCCAAATGTCTCTTTTTTTCCAACATGTTTTTCCAATCTTTGTTCAGGAAATCTTATTGCCTTCAGCATACTTTCTGATCCAATCCTTTACATCAGTGGCTCCCAACCTTGGGTAACTCAGGTGTTCTTGGACTGCAACTCTCAGAAACTCCAGCCAGCACAGCTGGTGGTGAACTGCAGTCCAAGAACACCTGAGCTACCCATAGGTGGGAACCACTGTTCTATATGCTTACCTGGGAGCAAGCCACTGGGAGTCACTTCTTGACATGCATAGGATTGCACTGCACTATTGCAATCTCTTCACTCGACAGCAAGCTGCCCTGAAGACGGTGGGGCTTAGTGAGGAGTAAATGTTCTTTTTAAAAAAGGTATCACAAGCATTTACAGACATTTTAAGAGCGCGAGAGAGTGAGTTTGGTGTCACCATCCAACACGACTCTGGGCTTGAACTTTTCAGACAGAGACAGGAGGTGGGATGTTCTTCAGCAAGACACCAGCACGGAGAGTGATCCTCCTGCAAATTTCTGTAAGACTGTAGCAGACGCTGCATCTTGCTTTCTTAACCGACCGGAACGGTTGCAGACTTAACCACGATTCTCACCGCAACAAGACTCCGGGCTAGAAGGATGAAAAAAAAAAAAGCGCAGAGTGGCAGGAAGACTTTTTTAAAGTGCCCGAGATCCTCCCCCTCTTTCCTCACTGGATTGGATAACAACAACTTCAAACGCAGCCAAACGGCGCGTTTTTCCCCACCCCAGAAAAGGCGGAGCGAGAGCCTCGCCAGCCTATGGAAGCGGCAGAAAGGCGCGTTTCGGTTCAAACTCGGTATAAAAGAATCCTTGCTGGATGAATCAGTTTCTTAATCCCCAGGGGAGCGTGTCTCGTCCCGGGTGCGCAGAGGCGGCTACCTTCTCTCCCACCCCCACCCCCCGATGGCGAATCAGTCCCAGTGCCTGGACGATGCGCCCTTTCGGGGGTTTCGCTGCTGGGATCCCAGCCCGCCCCAGCCTTACAGCGAGGCGCAGCGCCTGGCCCTGGAGGAGCTCATCGCCGGCGGGCGGGCGGCTTTTTTCGCCTTCTTGCGCCGGGAGAAGGTGCGCGCCTTCCTCTCCGAGCGCGAGATCCAAGCCGTCCTGCGCGCCGCCGTCCCGCCGCCCAGGGCGGACGACAGCTTGGCGGCCGAGGCCAGCCTCAACACCTCTCTGGATTGCTCGTCGCTCACTTACTTCCCGGTGCAATCCGACGTGGAGCCTCCGGTCTTGGAGTTGGGCTGGCCGGCGTTTGTCAGCGGCTCTTTTCGGGGGCTCACCCGGGTGGAGACCTACTTCCAGCCCAGCTTTGGGGAGATCATCTACCCCTGCAAAGAGGTTGTGCGCAAGCAGATCCGGTCGGCTAGGGAGGTGAGTAAAAGGGGTGGGCACCGAGGGGGCTCGTACGAACCCAGCCGCCCGTCCATTCCGTGGAGCCTGAAGAGAATTCCTCGCGTGTAGCCGGCGATAAACTCGTTTATCTTGGCTCAGACCCTTAGAGGTGTGCTTGGGGGTCTGTGGTCACCGGTATCCACCCTCTTGTCTTTCCAGTCCTTTCTGCTACTGCCCACCCTAGTGGATGGGGGGGGGAGCCCTGCCCCAAAAGAGCTTCCCACTCATCCAGAGCAAGTTTAGGGATGGGATGTAGGAAGGTGGAGGGGGTCTCCCCCCCTTCAGTTTGGAGGTAAAGCTTTGCTGCCCATGCGACGCTCAACAAACACCTCTCAGGACTGCTGGTCACTCACTTATTTCTCAGTGCAATCCGATGCGGATCCTCCTTGGCATTGTACAGTAAGATAATCAAACACTACCCATAATTGTATTCAGTTTTGGGATAACGACCGTTGAATGCGTTCCCACAACGCCACAGCCTCACGTTTCTTCAACCGTTCTTGCAAGGTCCTTGTAAAGGTCTGGATAGCGTCTCCACGTTCATGGGGGTCTTAAGTGCATGTCTTGGGAGACTTCTTAACACGTGCACCATCTGGCAGCGCTAAGGAGGTGGTTAGTAGGCGGAAAGCAAAATAGCTTGCCTGCCTTCCTGTCTCCTCCCTGCTGCTGTTAGCCAACCTTTTTGTCATTTCCAGGATGGACCCACGTATCAAAGGCGGTGTGGTCAAGGGATGAGAGGAATTTGACACTAGCTTAAGTTTCAGCTTTAAGGCAGTAATTTGCATGGACCCGGGGCCATGTCATTTTGTATGACCATGATTGTCTGTTCCTCAGATTCCATATAGAGTGGAAGTTAGCTTTTATTGTAACACAGGCGATGGGGTAAAATGTAGCACCCAAATTTAGGGCAATGCAGTGGGCTAGTTTTTAGGATATTGGTGCACACACAGTAGTTCTGTCCTCCTAGAAATGAAAGTAGCGGGGGCTCAAAGAATTTCTGGAGGAGTCGCGCCTCCTAATAGCTGCTATGAGGCAGTTCCTTCACTTTGCCAAATGACAGGGCTGGGCTTCAGTTCTGAAGCTTTGAAGCATTACAGTAGTACAAAGAAAAGGAAACCCTATTATTATGTCGTTTTTGAGGCATTGGCTTGGGGGGCTTCAGTTCTGAAGCTTTGAAGCATTACCGTAGTACAAAGAAAAGGAAACCCTGTTATTATGTCATTTTTGAGGCATTGGCTGGGGGGAGAAAGAAGAAGAGTTAAGGTGAAATCTTCTACATCTCTAGGATTTGAATTAATTGTAAATTTGACCTTGACCCATGTTTGGGTTGTTGGTGAAGTTGGAGGGGAGGAGTCAGTGTGTCTTGTCAAAGACTGATTCCGATTCTCAAGTTTTAATTTCCCCTTATCTACATATATCAATGCTCTTTTAACACCAGAACTAACAAATGGTCCTTAAATAATGCAATTTGAAGGGATCAGAAGTTTTGAGCAGGCCTTATTTTTGGGATGTGAAAAGAGCCAAATTCCAAGGAATAGGAGGATTATGTTTGTTAAAGTTGTGGTTGCTTCAAAATGATATCTGTAAAAAAAAATCAGCTGAAGCTGCCATGTATGCATGCTAAACAAGTTCTGCAGAATTATCAATTATAGGTTTCTGTGTTAACTCATTTTTACTCAAGTGAATAAATCTGATGCGCTATGATAGTTTAGCAAAGAATGTTTTTAAAAATGCAGATAATTTGGCAATTCAACTGAGATTACAAACTTAAGGTATAATGGAAAGTTATTTGTGCTTAATAAGATGTCAAAGTAAGCATGACCATTGTGGACCTTTTGTTCTTTTTTTGTTCTCATCCATAAAAATCTGAATACAGTATTAGAGCTAAATTTCGGCAAATTTTTGTTCTCATCCATAAAAATCTGAATATTAGAGCTAAATTTTGGCAAATTAGTTAGAGATGCAAAAAATGAACTTCCACAGCGCATGTGCTTCTGGACATCCTAAACTTACATCTGCTATCAGTTCTGTGAAGTAGTGTGAGGTGGGATTTTTCAAAATTTGGGAATATTCATTATGTTACTCTGTGGGCAAATATGCCAGCTTGGTGCAGTATAGTTCAGCCTGTGTAAAACAGGTAAGAGTAATCAGCGAAACCTGTAGAATCACTATTGGATGTCTGAAGCCAATCCCTGTTGAGAAAATGTGTTAGCTAGCAGGCATTGAACGCAGTGACATGAATGAGTTGGCATCTAGTAGTAAAATGCTAAAACCATTCACAGTAAATGAGCATCCTCTCTTTGGCTACCATCTGACCCCTCCCACATTAAAGTCAAGGATTCCCCCCCCCAAAAAAAAACAATAAGAACAACATGTGGAAGAAAACACTACCCATATCTTTAAATGGATGGAAGCCCAAGACAGTTTAGCCCCTGATTACATGAAGAACTGGCAGAGCCATCGTGAACTTAAGAAAATTGAACTTTTGCACCAACACAGTATTTTCCAAACATGGAGAAGAACAGGCAAATTCACTTTATGTCAATATACTCTATGCCAGTGGTGGTGAATCTTTTTGGGTTCGTGTGCCCAAACTGGGGCAGGGGGCGGTGTGCCTCCCCTGCAGTGGCAGAAGGGGAAATCCCAGGCATGGAGGTGCCTTTAGACCCCACTCCGGATCTGCGGCCAACACCAGCTGCTCCAGATCCTGACCCACGGTCGGTCTGAGCACCAGCCTGCTCAGGTCTGGCTGCGGGAGGGAAGGGTGGAGTAGCGATCCAGCAACTTATGGTTGCATGCCGGCAGAAAGGGCTCTGCATGCCATAGGTTCGCCGTCACTGGTCTATGCCCTTCAACATATATGATAGACAGTTTGATGCTAGTTCATCCCAATATTCTTGATGATGTCCATTGTTGGGTGGAAATTACCTGATATTTTTTATTAAGTGTAGTGTGATGCTTCTGTCAGTAACACAGAAGCAAGTTTATGCTTCACGTCACTTGCTTCGAAATTTCCCAAGTTCACTGGATACCTTGCAGGACACCGTGTTTGTTTCAAAGCTCTGTAAGTAATGGTGCTTAATTATTTATAGGAACTGCATTTCAAAAGAAGTTATTTTTCTGAACTCTAATAATAATCACATGCCATCAAGTTAATTCTTCTTTATGGCAACCCCTTTCTGTGTTTTCCAAATAGAGAATACTCAGAGGTGGTTTATCATTGGGGGTAACCATGGAACTGTGCAGCCTGCACATGGCTATACAGGCTGGCTCTTCTCTCAGGAGTCAAAGTAAGGAACCGAGCTCCCAATCACAGCCAAATACCTAAACTACTGCGCTGTCCAGCCAGTTCTTCTGATTAGCTCAGTGGGTTGGGTATTTGGCTGTGGAGCCAGAGGTTGGAAGTTCAGTTCCCTACTGTTCGTCCCAAAAGAGCCAACCTTGGCCAAGCTTTACAGTCCCAGGATACCATGAGCAGAAAGGAATGGTAAACCATTTTTGAGTACTCTACCTAGAATCTCCTGAAAAGGGTTGCTGTAAGTCAGAATGGACAGCACACAATTATTATTTCTAAACTCTGCTCCTTACTAAATAGGACTTCTAACAGGTATCCTGATTTTTTTCATTATTCCGTGACTGACCAACCCTTTCCTCCAACAGTTAGAAAGAGATCAGCCACTGGAAAGGTAGTCTTGTAAAGAAGGTCATAGGTGGCTTTTGCCACATATTGCAATCTGAGATAAGATTGCAGCCCAAGTTTGATAAGTAAGGCAGTGGTCCCCAACCTTGGGCCTCCAGATGTTCTTGGACTTCAACTCCCAGAAATCTTGGCCAGCAGAGGTGGTGGTGAAGGCTTCTGGGAGTTGTAGTCCAAGAACACCTGGAGGCCCAAGGTTGGTGACCACTGCTGTAAGGGATATCTGGCAGTGTAAGTCGAGGGTCCACTGTATTGCAATCTGAGATAAGATTACAGCCCAAGTTTGATAAGTACTGTAAGGAATATCTGGCAATCCAACTCTACACCATAACAGTGTAGCTATATTTGGCATGGGAGAGGTCTAATGATATCATGTTGAAGGGCAGGTTGGTAATCTTAGCTAAGAATCTTGAAGGAGAGGTATCTGTAGACTTGTATAATAATAAATAGTGATTTCCTTGTGTTGGTCATGTCTTCTTGATTAATGACTTTAAGGTGATGCAAACCACAGAAGCCATTAGCTAGTAAATATTTCTCATCCTGCACAAGCCTAACATACCTGTCCTGTTGTGAACATGAAAAGGGCAATATAGTTGGTGAGAAGTCCAGAGTTCTTAGGAAGGAAATGATAATTGAAACACCCATGGGAAGAACAGATCTATTTATTATATACCTGGCTGTCTACAGTGTAAACTAGGAGGATTTTTTTAAAAAATGAAGACTTCTGAGGGTGGCTGTTCAAGAGTAACAACATCAGCTATATCGGTACAATTTGTAATTCATTCAGATGTCATTGGTTTACATGACTATAATCATGACACATAATTCTGTTAATGAAAAATAAATTTACAGATATGATGTTGAGAATTCTGTTCCCTCTGTCATTTATTCCAGCTGGTGGCATTTGCCACTTGCTTTGTCATTTAGAGGATAATCTCTTATGATTAAGGTTGGGGACCACTGATTTAGAGGATAATCTCTTATGATCATAGGAAGCTGCCTTATACACAATTGTACCATTTTGTCTATCTAACCTGATATACTGTCTGCTCTGATTGTCAAATAAGATTTCCATGGTCTTGGACAGAGGGGGGTCTTTCCCATCGCTTCCCATAATCCAACTATTTTTTCTTTCTAAGCTCAGGAAGGGGGGTCTTTCCCATCGCTTCCCATAATTCCAACTATTTTTTTCTTTCTAAACTCAGGAGATTCAATTATCCATAGGGTCTCTTCCAGCTCTGTGGTTCTGAAATAATCTAAGATTAGTTCAGAGAATGGAACT